GGGTGTGGTGGTTTTTGGTTGTTGTATATATGTAGGGGTGGGTTGGGTGGTTAGAGATTTTAAGGAGAAGGATTTGAGGGGGTGAGGTAGGGATTTAGAAGGGATTGTGGTTTGAGTGGGTGATGGGGAGGATGATGGTGAGTATTGAGGTTGTGGGGGTGGGGAAGAGATGTGGATGGTTGGGAAGATGATTTGTTGTGAGGGGTGGAGATTTTTTTTACTTAAATCTTGTGTTGGTGGATGGGCTATATGCATAACATTTTGGCGGCGTATCCGAGACCTCCCGTCACTTTTCTGATCTTATCGTTTTAACAGAGGTAGCGATCACTTTTCTCGATTAGTCACCACGGTTTTATGGTTAGTTGGACCTAGTATATCGCTACTACTGCAGAGTATGACGTACCGTTTCAAATGCAACAACCAGTACTCAAGTAAATGGTTACAAAATAACCACAACCAATCGATATTTTGTGTGACCGCGTTCTGTAAATTGTTCCAGATGGTTTTTGATATGCAAGTATAGGATCATCAGCTTAAGCAATTTTTGGACCTCTGTTACAAGTAACTGGGCCACCAACAAGTTGACGTTTATTTGTGGTCTCTGCTATAGGCAATTGTGTCGTTAGTACTTTGATTCATGTAACTGGGACGGAGCGCTGTCACATGATCCGAAATTGCCCTACACAGCCCAGTAGGGTGCCACTCAGATGTTAATCGCACCGTTGGTACATAGGAGGTGGGCAGAGTACGGATGTGGAGAGAAGAGTTAAAGCGTCTGGGCCCATGTTTATTGACAAAAGTTAAAACGATGGAGGGCAGGTAAGCAGAATCAGACAGCAGTACTCAGCGTGACTGAAAAAGCAGCAAGTCATCAGTATGTAAAATCGTTAAAACAAATAGACGATCGGAAGATAGAAACAAGAGTAAACTCCAATGCCACATGACACTAGGTGCTTAACTTATTCATGTCCATTTCTGCTCATTCCAAATTCAACTGTTTCGAGTCCCATTCGTTTTATCTTCGTCAGTAAATTAGTGGCGCTTCGCCTTGTATGTTATACTAGATAGGCTGGAAGCAATACAGTTGCGCAGTGCACAGTACAATAATAGCTCATTTAATCTGGTGTACCGCAGGTAGTTTTGGATAAATCATTAATGGCAATTGTAATTTTTTATTTATAGCTGTTTGGTAATTAGGCACTAGATATCAGCGACGACTTATTTTGCGTTTTACGTGCCATGACGTTAAATGGACATATTGTCCGCTTACAATTTTAATTGTCGCTTTCTCGCCGAATTGATTGGAAAAGTAACAATAGTGGGTTAATCAGTTATGGGGTTATAGTTACTCTTATATCTTTAAAAGTAGAACAAAATTCAGTAAATTTGAGTATACATTGATTGACCAACCATATATATATAGTTACTAATTTAAGACTAACCAAATCAATTGTATCATATTTGTATTGCATTTTCTTTCACAATAGCTTTTTCGCACTTGAAGGACAATAAAATCTTTATTGGTTTAGAAAAAGGTAATAGGTTCAAAGGACACAGAAGTCATAAAAATACGTAGCTGTTTCTCCAATTCATGAGAAATTGTTTCACGAATGGCCATTGCCAATGTAACATACATTTACATCACACGGAGAGACGAACAGTGATATATACACTCATTTCGCCTCATCTCGTCAGTACCATTTTGATAACAGAAAATAATAAATAAAATAAGCAAGGATGTAGAACAAATTTTGCCAACACCCAAATCTCACCCCTCTGGAATGCTGACCTCTACATTGGCCAGTCTCACAGCCCGGCATAAAGCATTGGTGTGACTGTCATGTTGTACATTTTCACTTCTCACGCGACGTACCATGACTCGCTTACACTGTGACTTAACGTCCCATTTCCAGTGCAACCTGGTCCGAACCTTTCTTCACCCCTATGCATAAGTACACCTATTGCCATTGTCATTTCCCTTTGATATGGTCAATTTGGGTGAATGACGCAGTTTGTACTGCTACTGTATCATATCGGGCCTTATTGCGTATTTATTTGCAGACACATACCAGAGGATCATTTTGATTCTTGCCATAAGCCAGGTGTGTCGCATTTTGATTCCATGGTTTGTTTCGCACCCCTGAACGCTCGGATCACTGGTGGGTCTGAGCGTGAATTTTCGGCATAATTTTGCGTTTGAAAATCGATAAGATAAGGTCTATTTTGATACGATGAACTTGTATAAATAGCACCGTTTCTCAGGTCCGGACTCTCGTTGAATGTTGTTGTGGGATACGCGTGGCTTAAACTACCAAACACTTTGTAGCGTTCTAAAATATTGTAACGTGACTTATTAAGATAATAATACAAGTTTGCCACAACTCATCACGTTCACTGAGGTTACCCCCGGGTATAGCCTTAAAACCACGGCAGCCCAATGACACTGGGTTTACCGCCAAGCTCTGCTGAAATATTACGTCAACCAATTTACCGCTTTGGAAAACATATAATAATTTTCAGATCAACGGTACAATCGTTTCTAGTGCAAAAGTTGGTAGGGAATTACACATATTCTGATTGTCACAGGCATGTTTTTAACTAGACTGCGTATTTGATGAGGTAAACTTGGAATGCATGTTCGTATTAGTCCTTAGCATATGCCGAGAAGTTGAAAGGTGTCCAGCATTATCCCTACATCATCAGGTCGACTATGTCTTCGGACATAATGATTTGTGTTGGATCACCAAAATTCGCCAAACATTGAAATCTAAGAAACTGGATATAAATTTGCTAGTAACATATACGATATTTTATGGTAGATTGGCCGCTAGAGATGCGGTTGTTGTTTTATATATATACATAGTTATTGGCACATTTTTCACTTATCTGCATGCCACCAGATGAAATTGCAGCACTGAAAGATAAGAAGAGTGATCTTTTTATATAATACAGTAGGCAGACAGCATATATTCTTATACGATTGGTGTTATGATATCTAGTAATATTATCTAAATTTTGTTGTTTACGTTGTTAATGATACGATAATTAATGAGACATTTCCCAACGTGTAGAAGCAATCCATAAAATAAATAGTTATATGTGATAGCAAGTGATATATTGGGTATTTTAGAATTCTTCACACCACCCAACCAAGAAAGTGCTAGACTGCCGTTTCGTGTTATCGGAACCCTAAATAGCGCAAACGCGCCGAATCCCACCGGTTTTGAACCACCGACGTTTATTTTACTGCTCGATTACATATGCTCCTAAGGCGTGGTTGAAGGCAGCGAATTATATATATGGATTATATGACTGCTAAGTCATGGAGGATTGTATGATGTTGAAACCAGTATGTGTCATTTGAATTATGAACTCTTCTCGAACGCTGGCTGTTTTTTACGGAACAAACAGTTTGATTACGTTCCTTATTGACAAGAAGTTGTTGCTGCTTTTACAATTCAAACTTTTAATTAGTCTGGGTGTTAGTTCTTTCCATGTTGATTTGGAACAGCTTGCAGGAATCCGGGCCAAAAATGTTCACCATTTTTATATCAAGTTCAAACTGATTAGATCTGCCGATTTTCACTATCGAATGTATCTTCACCATATACTATTAACAGGAACATCACTCGATCAATTCATTTTATCACACAATGGTTAAGGGGTAAACGCAAATTTATATACAATAAGAATTTCAATTTGTATTTCCAATCATAAATATCAGAGGACGTAGATTGTGTGCTGACTCAGTTATTTTGTGCAAGATTCTCAATCACAATTCATGCAGAAATCATAGATATGAAAGCGCGGTTATGTGAGATCAATAGTTAGCCAATCGTTGGCTAATCTTCACGCCTCACACTTCACGGTATGGTTGGTTTCACCGTTAAATGTTGTGGTACGCAAAGCATCGGTGTTTTCGATTGATGGCGAAGGCTTCTAATAGCCTTGGAATGTAAGGTCGCTGATTGCGCATCACAACGTTGAATGTCTAGTGCTTGTTAACTTGGTAGCCAGTTCTCAGTAAATGCCTTGAGATTGCCGAGACAGCTAGGTTTCTCAATTCACCCAATTCATCCGTTGTCGAACACATCCGGCTGTATAAACACTTAGGAAGGCACTCATTGATCTTGACACATTGATTTCGATTAGTGCGCCTGACTTTGCGTTGTCTTGTGCTACTAGTGAACTTGTCTAAGCAATGGAAAATGCAATGCCTCCAATTTCGGCTTCGTGTGGGAAAACATAAGCCGCGGTCTTTATGAGGTAAACAAGTGTGGTTCAACTGCCTTGTAAGCTCTTTCCACTAAGCACTAATGGCTGCTCGATGAGATTCACGAGATGATCACGGGTGATTTCATAGGACCGTCATTATCCTATATCTATGATTTCTGCATGAACGGTGACTGTGGAGCTTGCACAAAATGACTAATTTATTTCACAGTTTAGGTCTGCTTTCTAAGTTGTATTTATATATGTGTGTTATCTACATGTCATTTGTAAAGCGTGACTTGGAGCAAGAAAGTAGGGGGTCACCGTTATATGGGACATCATGTAACAATCGATTTTCATGAGACACCCGAAAAAAGGTATTGTGCATATCGAGGAAAATTGGAGTTGCGAGAAATACAAGATCATTCGAGGTATTTAGGGGGTTTAGAAACTTCAGTTGGCAACTTACTCAAGCTAAACTATTTTAGTAGCCCAATTGATAGATATTTAATAATTTTTCCACATTAAGAAAACCACCGTTTAGCTTTGATATCCCCATCGAACATTTTTGTTTAGCTTGTAGCCTGGCTTATGGTGTGACAATTTGTGTGCTCAAACAGGGACTAAACTATAGGTTATTTCACAATGTTTCAAGATTAGATGGAGAATACTCACAGAGCATGAGGGTTTCATTGCCGTCCAGTTTCGTGTCTACTGTAAGAACATTGCCCGCACTCCCGATATATAATAATATTGCGCAACGATAATTTCGGGTATATCGTGGACTT